GCATTTCCACAGTTCAAACACACACATAGCTCCTGGAATGTACATAGTATTTAGCAAATTTTTAACTAAGTTTTCTTAGTAATTGTATAGTTTTCCCTTGACAAGGAGAGGATCAGACTTTTTTCAGGAGGATTACCTCTGCTCAACCCATTTCAAGCAGCTCTTGAATAAAATAGTTCATTAGTTCATGAAAAGGAAAAACTCCAGGGAACTGCTGGCGAAGGAAGAGAAAAGAACAGAGTGCCACAGTAATTAGGTTTTCAGATTGTCCCTTATCCTCCAGAATGCAGGTACACACACACATGTCCCTCTTCCCCTTAAGTAAAGCATTTAGGGGAGCTCATTGCACATTTTTCTGTGGGAATCAGGTTCCAGAGATTAAAATTGTAACCAGGCCATCATTTCCCAGAAAGATATTAAAAGATACCACTTCCTTATAGCACATTTCTATTGCTAGTCCATAGCAAAGGGCAGTTCACTCCCCTTTGCATGCATTTAAATACCTTAGTTTCAGACTTCGTCAAAATTCAGTTTCCTGACCTTTTTAGGCTCCCATGGCATGATGCTGGAAAATCAAAGGATCTCCACTTATCAGGAACTACTTGTGCCTGCCCACAGGTACAGGCAGCCTGGGAGCAGCAGTGTCACTGACTGTACCTACCTGTAATCGTGGAAAGGGTTGGCCAGGAATGAGGATGGGAAGTGAGGAAAACAGGAGGGGGTTGCAATTGTTCACTTGGCAATTGTTGACCAGAAGACAACCTCTTTTGATCCCCACCTAGCACTGCAGAGCACAGAGCACCCCAGGCCCATACCAATTCAGGGGAGGCCAGATCATCACCAGAAGGGACAGCACCATACGGCTCCTTTGTGTCTTTACACCACGTGGCTCACAGGCGGCGTGGTTCACAGCAGCACAGCCTTCACACTGTGGTTCCTTTTGTCTGCTCTGTACTTACACCAAAACCGTTCAGGTAGCCTGTAGGTCTCCTGCCAGACTGATTAATCTGCCAACTGAGATGCCAGTGAATACAGTTCTGGTGATACTGCTCTGTGCTTTGTCACCCTCTCATTTCAAATCATCTTGAGACCACCAAGAAACACCTGATCATCATCAGAAACATCATCACGTCACTACCTGCTTGGCATGGATCAGTGGCCTCAGATTATGCATTCACAGCAGACAGCATGACTAGAAAAATCAGGAGATGCCAGAAGAATGTGTTGCAGCCTCTATGAACTCTCCAATTCTCCTTGCTAAAGGGCGCATATTTTAAAAACTGGATTTTCCCACAGATCTGTTGTGATTTTCCAAAAAATAATGTTTTGCAATATCCTTAAATTGTTACATTCCAATTGGAATCCAAGAGGATTCCAAACGAAATTCTGCCCTTTCATCTACCAAGGGGGCTTAGTTTCAACCCACAGTTTTAGAAAGGAGTCTCAATTTTGAGCATCAAGAATGACTTCTTCATCTAGATATCATCATTTAAAACAGACTGGTAGGTTAAGAACTGAGCTATAACATGATAGAAAAACAACTCTTAAATGAATAATGATTTGCATATCAGATTATTAAATTTAAATCTATCAAATCATCATTTATTGAAATAAACAGTCTATCTGTCCTGTTTCTGGAAACATTTTGCCTCAGGGAAAAATTTAAACCTGGGCAGATAATCAGGATAAGGTATTTGAACACTTAAATCCTGCTGGAGTCTTCAAAGTAGGTGTTAAGTGGTGCATTAAATTTGTGCTGTTTCTTCTGAGCAGGGTGAATTTGCTCTTCTGTAAATAGTGGGAAAAGCATTTTACAATAATTTGAATCCATGAATAAATGTAATATATTAAAACTTCTACAGTACAACAAATGTTTTTGTACATAAGCCAAATGAGTGGAATATCCAGTACTGAAATTATTTGACTGACCACAGAAAGATAATATATAATTAAAAATACATCTGCAGCACTAACCGATGGGATGAGAGAAAGTGACATCACAGATCTCATATAAGCTGCAAGCGTATTATTAGATCTAAACCTGGCTGTAAAATTACTATCTGCCCATGGGATTATCTTTAGGCATTCAGAAGCATTGTTTAATTTACTGATAGAACAGGGATGATAACAGGCTGACTTCTCTTGTCACATTGTTTTTTGGTCTTTATTCTTTGTTCATGTTAGCTGCAGATGAGAGGAAGACAAGCTTCAGCTGAATCACTTTTGTGGAGCTTTTCATTGTTTCAAAGGTGCTTTTTTGTTGGTTTTTTTTGTTGTTGTTGTTTGGGGTTTTTGTTTTATTCCCCCCCCCAAGAAAAGAACCTACAAGCATTTTTAATGGTGATAAAATCTAGTAAAAGTTGCACACAATGTAACATCCAGGAATGTGGCAACCTAATGAATATCCATTGGCCTAATACAGCACATGGAGACTGTAAGACTGCTTTTAGCTCCCATTACTAGCACAAAGAACCACCAGCTACCGGTTATATCTCGGCCTCATTAAAATTCAATGCCAAAATTCGACTTCAGTGGGTACATTTCATCATTCAAGACCTAAGACACAGGACATAATTCTCCTTCAAATGAAGGGTTATCTGGGACACCTAATCTCTACAGATTACATTTCTGCATTAAATTGGACACAGCTGCATTTTGATCTTTTTCACATACCATTTTTATGTTCCTGGCAAATTATTAAGTTGCCTATACTTGTAACGGGACTTGTGTGCCACCAACCTAAAATAGTCAAAATCCTAAGAGCGTGTAACAGACAGGCAAAGGGGAAAAAATGAAGCTCCAAACTTTCCAGTAGCTTTTGAAAGTCGTGCTAATGATCCTGAACTGCGAAGGTGACATGACGCACTCTCAGAAATCTGGTCCTAAGTGTATAACTCCAGGGATTTGAAATAGTCCCCATATGCCAATTTCGCAAACTAGGCAAAAGTCCAGGAGCAGGCGGGACCACAGCCAGTCACGGACTTGTGCATACACTGTTAAAGCAAACATGGACCTTGTACTTTCCTCCACACTGCCCTGATACTGAGCAGCTACTGCCATGTGTTATCTCTTACAGCACCTCCCAACATCCCTTCCAGTGTAACCTTAAACCTCTGCTCCACCAAACACTGAAACCTGCAAACAGGCTGCATACACAGAGAATGCTGCTTCTTGCTCTTGTCACAACAATCTTGATTTTCCTTGTGTTTTCTCCTAACCCATACCCACCTGCTGTCCTTTATCTTAGTCTGCAGTTTGAGGGAGTGACCATTTCTAGTATAGTGAAGCATTTAGCCCATGATCAATGCCCTCAGCACTACCGCCACAGAAATACATTGCATTTTATTAATAGTAGTTAATACATTAACTACTTTTAATCCACATTAGATTTTTTTCAGTGTCCCTTTTATGATTGATGAACTGAATAGACTTTTCATGCAAACCCCTTCAGCATAAATCTTTGATTCAAAACTGTCTGTACATACAGGAACACCAGTATGCCATTAAAAGTTCACACTGGACCTATGCACTAGAAATGAGGTGTCTGCAAGTAGCTTAGATACAGTATCCCTGTTAGAAAATATTCCTCCAGCACTTGGCCTGGGCCAAGAACCATGTTTATGAATCATGAATTGTTTGTGGCTGGTCAGTGGTTCTTACAATCTTTTAGTTGTAAAGAATGACAAAGGCAAAGACCTAAAGTCTAGGGGGGAGCAAAGATTCATAAAGGTGGGCCAGACAAAAGACAAGAAGCCTGTGGTGATAAAGCATAACAAATACAAAAGTGAGACTTCACTGCAGAAGTCGTCAAAGAAAAAGAGCAGAACACACAATATAGCAAAGAGCACCAGTATCTTTGAAAATCAATTTTATTTTAAAATGTGTCCTGGATGTAATGCAGGGTAAATTAAAACCCATTTTTTCCTGAAAGGTGACAGCTGTGGGGCTAAACTATGAGAAAAGTTGAGAGGATCCATTCTCACCTGTGAAGTTAACCCATCAGAACTGATCTTCATCTCAAATTGGTAAGAAACATCTCATATTACAATATTAACAACTTCTTAATGTGTATGTTGTAGCAGGTTTCATGTCAATTGATATGCAAAACTTGTTTCAGTTACCTTTAAAATGGATTTCTCATTGATATTCTTTGTTTCTGACTACACATCCATAATTGGTTAACTTATTTTAGAGATACTATGTGCAGTGTGCAGTAAAGAATGGTCCAAAAGGACAAGTAGATCTGAAGAACTTTTGTATCACAGAGCTGAAGCACATGCCCCCGTTCCAAATGCTCTGTATATAAAAAATACTTTCATAAAAATGCCCGTCTTCAGAAGCTTCATAAAACAACTGTGATTAAAATAAAACAAAAAGAGCCCAACTGCCTTACGTCCAGACAGAAGAGAAATACATGGGTAACAATTTTTGAATAGTGCATACCCATTAGTTTGTATACTTCAGGTAAAATTTATTACCTTTCTCTTCAGCCATCTCAGTATCAAGTGTCTGCTCTTAACCAGTCATTCAGGTTCTTTCCATTTTCAAAAGCAGTAGGAAGTGTCACAGGACAACATAAAACCTACCTCAGCTCCTAGGTAATAACTGGGTTGAAGCATTCATTGGGGGTTCCCTTTTCTGCTGGTTAGGAAAAGTAGCATAGGCAAAATACCTGACTTTAGAATGTGAAAAAATACTACAGGGTGAAACCTTCCTCCTGGGTCTAGAAACTAGGTTGAAGAGTCATCCCAGATGTAACATCTCTGCATCCTTATTTGAACAGCAATACTAAGAGAAGCAATCTTTCTTGTGTTAACAATTCTGCACCCACACCAAGACTGGTTGATGGTACATAAAGCTAAAAATGAATAAAATCTTCACTAAATTGCTTTGAATGTTCAAACAGACTGAGTTTGCTCTTTCAGCTGAGGCTTATGCCACTTCCAGTTTTCCCTCAAAACATTTGCTTATCCATATATTTACTACAGAAATAGTCTTACCTCTGCTGCATCTTGCTGGTCTCTGAAGATAATTGCATTTTTTATGGTTTGGATAAAAAATCCATTCAGTTCCTTTTGTTTCTTGTTTGGAAAAATCCGGAGCAATGGGATCATTATGAATGGGAAAGAAACTGTAAGAGTTTTTAAAGAAGGAAACACTCAATCAGACTGTTAAGGTATATAATATCCCCCTCCTTTCATTAATATTATAAAACTCATTAAGTGGGACACATTACTTCTGTGAAACCAGTTTTTTCCCCTTTCTCTCTCCCCCTCCCTCTATTTCTTCCACCGTTATAGGCTAGTAAAGGATTTCCTTTCAGAAATTCCATGTTGGCTGGGACTCTCCTGCCAGATAGATGCCTTCCAACCTTGCTTCTACAATGCTTCAGGATTTCAGTTCAGCTCCTTGATGCCAGAGAACCACCACAACAAAGGGGAGAATTATTTTCCCTGCCTATTTGAACAATTACCTACAGAAGGTCGGGGATCTTGAACTAGCCTAGAAGCTTATGTCGCTGATCCATGAAATTGTGTAGTAGTCATTCTCATTTACAGTCCTCTGATATTAGGATATTGGTTTGCTATTTTATTTTGCTTGTCTAAACAGGCCACAGACTCTGGAAGTGGGATGTTATCACAAGGATGGTCTCCAGTTCATGCCCTTTATAGTCAGAAACTAGAAACCTGAGTGAAGTCTTGCATTTTAATAAACCTTTCATTAACTTATGAACAGCTAAAGACTAATGAATCAGTCAGTCATCAGAAGGCCTCTGTGATGCCAACAGGGCAAAACTGTGTGGAAATTCAGACCACATAATGTACCAGCAGAAAGAGATCAACCAAGGAATCCAACTCCAAATGCTACAGAAACTATTTAATGAAGGGCATGGTCCTAGACATACAGGGGCAAATTTCTGTCCCTTCAGAAACTGGTCACAAATCACACTTTGCAATCAGGTTAAACATTAACCCTGGGACTTCTGGATATACAACTCCGGGAGGAAACAGTTCCTGTGCTGCTAATACAGGTGCAATTTGTAATATCAGCAGGATCAGATGGGCACAGGAAAATCTGCCACTGTGCCACCTGACATGACTATGTGCAGCTTTAGGTAGCAACATGGTGAAACCTCAACAACTGTGATTATGCTGTGGCTTCCTCAGCTACGATTCTTACTGCTCTTGCCTTAACAAGGCCACCATGAAGCCTTAGCTTTCACGCCCTAGAACTAAATGGCTTTATACTCCCTTCTTGCATTCCCTATCTATTCACCTGAAAACAAATGCATTCTCTTAACAGCCTGTGCTGGCACTTATCATCTTTATCCTTTATAGCCACCAACCAGGATACTGCTGCAATTCAAATAAGAATTTGGAGGACTTCTAATGCCCATTTATGCTCCTCCACCTCTATTCTTTAGTGGGTTACTAGCCCACTATTGTTTATGGGTGGGATTTCAATCTCTACCAAGCAAACTGAGTGCACAAAATCTTAACTCTCATCCTCCAAAGGGCAGTTACTCTATTTTAATGCAGAAGTGTATTACAAGAGATATCGTAGAAACTACAAGTCCCAGAAACCTTCCACTCAGATCAACCTGGAGCATTGCCTTCCCAGACTCTCAGTTTCTGGAGGAAGTTGCAAGAACTGTAGAGCATATGGTGGAAATCTCAAGGGTATACTTGGCCTGTAGGTTGCATTCTGAACACCTCTGAAATGAAGTCTGCTACACATCTTTCTGCTCCTGCTTCAACATGTTCTGCAATTTGAGAATGACTTTTAGAAAATCACCATAAAGAAGTAGACAAAGGTAGAGTATACTCACGTATCAGAATGAGGAGAGGCTTAAACAAAGACATTTCAAAGAATGTTCTGCAATTCTTAACAAAGGGGTCATCAGGATTCTTCTGAGAATCCACCTCAGTACCAAAAGCTACACTACCAACGACATCCAAGGTAAAGCAGTTGTAACACCTGCATTGAGTTGAAGAATGATAAATTATTAGCTAAAAATTATATCCATTAATATCTTGCTTCTACAAACATCACATAACACTATTTTTTGCCTGTTTTTCTTTTATATTTGAGCTTTGCCAACAAGAGATGTTTCCATCATTGACAAATGCCCACCTTCTCTCCATCTACAAAGTGAATATCTTTTCATATAGCTCAATAATTCCAACAAAAATGTATAAAATTTAGAATATTTCATTATTACCTAGAAATCAAATGCAACAGGTCAGAGTTTCATAAGCATTTTCTTAGTATGCATCCTAATAAAAGAGATCATTCCATTCTCATGTCAAACTGAAGAGACCACATCTACTACCAGTTCAGTCTAAACTCTCAGTGACAAGAGGTGCTTAAGTAAAATTTCCTGTTAACGATTTTCTTGGGCTTCTTGATAGCTCCTTTATAATGTAAAATCGTGGTCAAAACCAAGAAGAACTGACACTATGTATAATGTGTATCTCTGCAAAGGAGCAGCAAATTCTTTGAGGACTACAGATGATCTGTGGACCACGATCTAGCAACTTCAGAATTTACTGAATCTCTCCCCACATATCTAACCATCTATCCAGTTGTCTCACCATCATTTAGTTCTACTGGGCATTAGCAGCTATATTTAGTTTTGAAGGAAAGGGACTGAGAATGTAAAATATCCTTGAAATCTGATTCTTTTGATCTGTGGTCAAGTCTGCAATGACTGTTCTTCTATGTTCCCTTACAAAAGGCTAATATCAAATTCTCTGGTGTTTCAACCTGAGTGAGCATGTATTAAGAGAATGATGAGTCTCAGGCCCAGTATAACCTGTATATGTAATGTGAAGCAGCATTTATAAACTATGGTCTTTGGACACTGTCATTCTGACAACACTAGCACAGATTTGGAAGATAACAACAATACTTCAAAGCTAAGTAACTTCTTTGGGTTTTCAACTCTTAAACACACACACACAAAAAAAGCATTATTAGAAGTTGATATGTTAAAAGAGGAGGCACTGCAATAGAACAATAATTTCAGAAGCACTTGATCATCTACCTCTCCAAGGTACTGAAAAAGCTTAAAAACTAAATATTAAGTTGTTTGCAAAACACAAAATGGCTAAAGACAACTAACATACAAGACAACCGGAAGTTGGATATAGGGTATTTACATCCAAAAAAACAGCTCCCAAGGCAATGCTGGGAAACTGCAGTGCAATAGGAATCGCATTTATATATGTCAAACCTGCTGAAATGGTAGTATGATAAAATAACTGGAAGATCATATTCTGAGATGGTCAACATCATTCACTTATACTTTCAAAGGTATTTTCCAAAGTGCCTCTTGAGAGGTGAAACCCTATCATGGATCAATAGCTAAAAGAGCAGGCAAAGAAAAAAGACAAATGGAAAAAAGGGAAAAGCCTGGAAGGACTCAAAAGGTCAATTTTCATCAGAGCACTAGGCTAAGCGTAATGTATCTCAAGGTTTCATAGCATCTCTTCAGATGTTTAATAAAGAGATCTCTGTGCACACACATACACACGTGCATAGATACACATGTACTTGAAAAGAGATGGATGAATTGTGGCTAAATATCAATTTCATTAGATGAAACAAAATTATTTGCACTGCTCCAGTTTGGGGGAAATCATTAAGAACTTCAGTGGGTGCTGACCAACCCAGCAAATGAAGTGTATGCAAAACAGCACCTATCAGAAAGAATGCATTTGAAGTACTCATATGCTGCAGAGCATCCCAGAAGAAACGCATCTGCTCAGAGAAGGGGTTAGACAGTGAATACCTCTGATGAAAGAGCAACAAAGAAGATAATAGGATATTAAATGCATAACAAATGGGAGAAAGCACAGTATGGAAAATATTAAAGTGTCATTTTATAAATCAATGGTGTATTCTCATCTGTAGCACCAATCCCATCGTTTCACAAAAGGCTAGCATGCCATTAGAGGGGGTTAGGGGGAATGTAGTAAGAATGATTAAGTGCTCAAAAAACCTCATATAAAAAAAGCAAGGGGGTGATGGCCTAGAGGGATTTGATACTAGATCAATTCCTATATTTGTACATTATTGGCAGACTGTAGAGAGCAGACTGGACAGGGACTGATGCAGCTTTCCTTTCTGCTTCCAGCTGTTAAAACTTCATTAAACAACAGCTAGAAATACATTAGATGCTTTTCCAAAATTACTTTTCAAGTATGGAATGGCTGCCCCCAGGAAGAAAAAGCATCTATCAGACACATCCTCTATTAAACTATGATCTCCACTTACAAAATCAAGGGAGGAAAAAAATCTTCTTTTATACAGTAAGCGCATATTTAGAATAACTGCTGCTATTAACTTTTTTTTTTTTTTTTTTAAATCTGCTACTAATTTCTGGCATGTTGAACATACCTCTGGATATCAAAAGCTTTGCCAGAATCTGCATAGACTTTCAAGTTACACAGCAGGACGTCACAGGCCTGGTTTATTAGCGGTGTCATCTAGAAAGGAACACATTGTATCGTAAAAAACATTAAAATGTTAAAAAAAAAAAAAAAGTAATCAGTTATTCTAAATTAGCTTTATCCAGTAGATGAGATGGAGCTCTCAAGATCCTCTGCAGGTGTGGTCAGGCACTTATGCACAAGTAAGATGAAATTCTGGGACTGTCTGCTAAAATTAAACCTACACATTACAGGGGTGCTCTTCTCCAGCTCTGGGCCTAAATATGAGAGGCTCTGTCACTTACCTGACCTTTGGTTCTTGCCAACCTGTGGCTGTACACACAAAGAGCTAACAAAGACATTCTCCTTTCTTTTTAATCATTCCCTGTTTCAACTGATGATTTCCCACGATTCATATTTACAGTGTATTACGTTAAGGCTACATATGCTCCAAGGCAGAAGGAATAATATTCTCCATAGTCCCAAAGTCCTGTAAAGAGAGGACTATCAGAGGCCCAGGACTTCCATCCTGCTGTCCCTCAGTCTGAGGGATTTAACATGTACATTAGAAAACCACCACGTATGCTGCTACAAGTTGCTGAGGGCAAACTGCTATTGCTACCTGAGGAAAGGGTTTTTTGAGTGGTGATGCTATTAAATGGACATTCACATGAATTTATTCAGCTAATGGTTCTTTCCAGTCACTGACACATGATAATCAGGTGGACTTACCCACAGGCTGGCTGTAGCTAACAGTGCAATAGTCTCCTCTTCAGCACTTCATGGAAACCATGACATAGGCAACCATCAAGACCTCATTAAAGGGTCTTCTCTCTCTCTGTTTCTCTTTAACTTTTTACATATGAAAGGAATCAGACACTTGGCTTGATTACACCTACTAGGATGGCAGAGAAAGGGTGTAATAGCAATCCAGCCACGGCCCTAAAGTCATTAACTGCTACAGCTCTTTCTCCATATAGACTGCCGAGACATCCTTACAGCCTACAATTTAATACCACAGCCTTGCCTCAATAGTTATGCCAAGCATCAGCAGACATACGCACAGAAACCTGCCTTTCCTTCCTGAACAACCTCCTTTGGCATACGGATGTCAACAAACATGAGAACAGACTTGTCCTACTCCTCTGACATTCTTGTTACCAAAAAAGACTTACTGCAGCCTCTCAGAACACTCCAAGAGCTATGCAGCCTGCCCAGCCAAGTCCATTTTGCTTGGCACTTCTACCTCTGTGAAACTGGCATAACACTTTGTGCACAGGCACACTGCCATCCTAACACATGGGCAAGACTATACACAGTCAAAAGGCCAATGCAGGAGCATCCAACATGTTTTCCAAAGGCAGAAGTCTGAGTCAAGAATGTGTATAGCTGCTCTCAAGGTCCCCTACCTATATGGGACAGAGTAGGTTGTCACTATTTCAGTTCAAAGCTTTGGGCTTTGCCACAGTCTCACAAGACAATTCTAAAGCCGGATTAGTATTCGGTAAAAGTAGCTGGCACGTGTTTGAGGGGTGCGCACCGTTGTGTGGCAGTTTTCTTCCCCTTTTGGTTTTCTAAAGAAGGTCTCCTGCAGTGAGCTTCTCAAATGGTTCAACAAAATTAACACATTTCTGTTCAACAGATTGAACTAGGGTGAAATGCTTTATAATTTCTGGGTCCAGCCCCTCCAATGAACTGAATCAGTCAAGGAGAACAAAATGAAAATCCATATTTTAACAGGTATGATGTTTCCTAAACAGATGGTGTTCATTTCAAATTTTCCTTTTATTGCCTTATTTTCTCTTTTATTCTTCATCACAGCACCAGACCTGCAACCACCCAGTGGGTTGCTATTGCTTTCCAACAGCTGGCAGAGATGGCAGGGGCACATATGCCTGGCCAGGGCATCTTACAGCACCTCTGCCCTTTCCACACACCACAAGCCTTTCAAAATACCATTGCAATTCATTTCTAGCCATAAGATATTTTTATTAGCAAACCTAACCAGGAAAATGGGGAGGGGGGCACATGGATTTGATTTATTGTTAGCATGATAGGACATAGTCATATCAATGAGACAATTATTTGCATATGAAAGCTGTGGGGGATATCTACTCAGGAATCTTGGGTTTGGGTTTGGGGTTTTATTCCCCTGAGGGACATAAATTAGTCCAAGATTGCTAACTACAAAGACCACAGACTGAAACATTCTCAAGTCCCTTAACACTTTAAATTCTTTGTTTATTGTCAAGAAAAATAAAGTACTGTTGCAGGAAGTGAACTGTACCAAACTTTGAAAACTGACACAAACAGAAACGTTTATCTGCACTGCCTTGGGTACCACTAACTTCCTATACATTCTCATTTGCCAGTCAGAACATAAAAGCTGCATAACCTGCCTGAGATTCAGTTCTTGGTGGGTAAACAAACCCCAGCTGCTCTGTGTTCAGATTGGCTGAGAGTAACAGGATGAAGAAAAATCTAAACAATATGGTCCCTGTAAATATTTGATCTGCCAGTTATCTAATAGCAAGAGTAGCCCAGAGTCCAAATTTCTTTCTTTCTGCCAAAGAAGAGCATTTGGGGTTAGGGTTTTCATGATGCCAGGGGCTTTGCTGTATAAATCCTGCCAATATGCTATTTGGCACATAACAACAATTAGTTTCTGATTCTGCATACACACAGTGCATGGGGATATTTGCACTGTTCAAAGGCATGAGTCACGTTCCTCTAGTTAGATGTGGTCCTCGGTATTCACTATTATTATCCCCCTTATTATTAGCACCCAAACTATAAAGTAGAAGGCTGGATCATTTTCACTGTAGACAGACACACTGGAGACTTCACTGTTCACATACAGTATGTAGAAGTCTTGTTGGGTCTTTTGTTCCATAAATGGGATGACATAGAAAAGAAAGAGAAGGAAAAAGGATACATCTTTAACATAAGAATTGCATCCGTACCAGATTTCAAGTCCATAACTAAAACTGGGAAAAAAGCAGAGCATCAGGAAGATGTTTCTGAGAGGATTTGTTTCCATCACCTCACAGTGGGGTCCCGTTATCCATAGGCACAATTTACCAAAGTGAGCAACTCAACCAACTCAACCTTGACTTGTGGTTCAAGGATATGCACGTTTCACACATCAGCTTCTACATAGGTGATCTGCTTTGTCTCAGGTGAGCACACTTGCTCTGCCAAGTAACACTAGCAATTTCCAGAGACCCTTCCAAAATGCCTCTGACCAATGTGCACAAGCAGAGTAAGAACAAGTCAAGGAAACCTCAATGGCTGGACTGTCAGATCTTATGTCCTAGTGGGACCTGGAAGATCTACATGCCTGAGAGTGACACTAGAGGATTCTCCTGCAGTGTTCTGCCACGTTATCACAAGTTCTGCTTTGTGTCTCCCTCTGAAAGAAAACGCCTCCACACAAACTCCACTTCACAGGTTATGTAGGACAATGCTACATTATGCTGTGCTCTCTTCTCTAATTTTTGTGTTCTGTTTTGTTTTAATGGTTGGTTAATGGAGGAGAGTATTCCCGGCATACTGATAGGAGATGACAAGACTACTGCAGCACCATCAGAATAAATAAAAATCAATAGTTTTTCTGCTGGTGTTGGCTGTAAAAGAGAGCAAAGCTATTTATCAAGTCTGACAAGGGGTCCAGAACTGCAGGATCATCACAGGCACTACAGCAAAATGAAGAGGAACAAAATAAGAAATACTAAATAGGGAATCAAGATCGGTACAGCAAGATCACTAACATATCAGCTTGTTTCAATACATAATAGCTGAGGAGAGCATGACAGGAACACCAGAAAAATGCATCTTTTACTTAAGGGCCACCAGGTATTTTACTTCACCAATTCCTCATGAATTACATCTTGGATTAGCTATCAGTGGTTGGTATTATTCCCATTTAACAGATGGAAGTTGTTTTATGCACAGAGAATTTAGGTAACTTCTGTGAGATCACCCACAAACAGTCAATGGCAGAGCTGGAAGTGAAACCTTGCAACTCCTGCCTCCAATCTCTCATTTCTCATTTTCAGTGCTCCCATAGCAACGGCACTATGAGGTCCATTAAGGGGTCTCAATGGAAAGAGCTTATTATCAGCGCTGTTACCAACTCCGGTGGCATCTCATGTGGGATGCTACCAAATCTTACTGCAGGATCAAGTTTAGAAGTCTATTAATTTATGCTATGCTCACCACTATAGTATTTGAATTTAATGTTACCTGGAGCCAAACCTTCCTTCAGCTGGAGTAGACTGCTTTACTAATCTTTACATACTGGTTAGAAAAAGGAAATGGAAAAGGGGTAACACACAATGTATAGAGATCTGTAAGAGCAACAGTGAAATGGTGCCCAGCTTTTGAAGATAAATTGAGGAGAGAGAAAGTTGGAGAAGATGCCATGAAATCTTGAAAAATGTCACTACACTGGCTACCCAACAGCTCTATAACCTCTAGTCTCTGCTAGTTGCTCATCACTTTGCAAACTTCAAAATTTCCAGGGTCAACTTTTCCTCATTTGGTGACTGGCTGTTGGAGATTTCTGCCAAACTAAGGGTAAATTCCGCAAGCTTAGTGAACTTCTCAGTGACACTACACTGCTGCTGTGGAGAGACAAGGGCAAAGTATGCCTCTGTCCCCAGCCACAGCAGCTAGATGCCTCTGTGGGGCTTTGCAGGTCAAACCTTAGCAACATATATCAGCTCTGTTTTGGGTTTTGTCCTCCAGCAGCCAGGCTAAAGAGTGGATGACCAGCTTCTTGTTCTCGCTAGTGCTGAAGCTGTCCTTTAGCCTCCTAGTAGATTCTTGTGTTTCTGAAATGGAGATATTTGGAACCTACACGCAACTCTCCTGCCCTCTGTGCATCTTTTTATCTGAAGTGATTGCTATGGGGAGCACAAGGGGTTGTTGACATTTATTGCTCTGTCACAGGCTAATAGCTTCCAGTTCTCTCAGAGTATCCAGACATTCAAGTCTATGTTCGGAGTGGCAGTAGGGACCGCAGTGCTCTCCAAAGCCACTTGGGAGGTCTGCAGTCTCTCCAGCCTCACTGGGGAGTTTGCATAGACGGGAATGAAGGCAAGGCAGACATCCAAAGTGAACAGAGGAAGACTTTGGTGTGGGGTTTTGTCAGAGCTCAGATCTATGTGGCAAAGGAATCTATGTCTTAGGAGAAGTCTAACAGTATTTGTAAATATGTATAAAACAATATATCCAGGTTCTTATACAATAAATACCAAAACAAGTCAGTGACTTGTCTGAGGTAGAGAGGAAGAGTTTATTGTAAACAGGATGTCTTCTACATAACCTGAATATTCTGTAGTATGGCCAATACTAGAACATGGTATTTTTATTTCCATGCTGCTGTAGAGGTTCTGAGAGAGTACTAAATATGGGAGAGTTAAAAAGTGAGATCATAATTAATGAGCATTGATTTCCTTTGAGAAGTGTTGGTATGGCTTCTAAATTAAGCAACAGCAAGAGAAGCACATGGGCAAGGACTTAAGTCGCATTAACTTCAAATCCCAGGACTGTTCTTGTATTTGGGTAGTAAATGAAATGCAAGGCTGAGGAATGCATCCATTCAAAAGAGGTTCTCAGTCTCACATGGACTTACTGCAAGCGTCTCTCTGTGTAGGGATGGATGGTCTTCTGGTGAAGACATGGGACAGAATAACAAAGTTGGGCCTTTCAGAGAGATCTTCTCCAATCCTTGTTTTCCCACTTATTGTAGACTAGGAGGAGAAAGTGACCATTTCCAGGACACTGTGAGCCCATGCACAATCCCACCCCTTCCACAGAGTTTGGAAGAGGCAGCACAGGGAAAGCAGATTATCAGGCTATAAATAAAGATCTCAATCTCAGCATGTGAGATGGCTACCAGGCACCAGCCAGCCCTCCATTTTACCTCCTACCGCTACTCCTGCATCGCAGCTCCACCACCAAGCAGTGCAAAGTGAGCACTGTGACTTCTCCTCCCACCCCAGTTTAATCGGTCAAACCCTGCAAAAGATGCCCAGGGTCTCCGCCTGCTCACCCTCACCGGTCTCCTCAGCCAAATCTGCCCGGCTGGTACCGGCAGAGGTTGCTCTCCGCAAATTGAGGGGAGCGCGGCTTTATCTTTTGTTAGTCCGCCAGCAAAGAGCCGATGACCTGCAGTAAAGCAGATTAATTTCCACTAGGAAAATGCAAAACTATCCTCTCCCCACCATGCCATAAGCAACTAATCGCTTGCATATTTAAACACCCTCGCCTCACTAAAATTTTGTGATGGAGCCGGTGACAGAGCAAATGTCGGAGCGCATAACCAATGGCATTGTCAGTCGTGATTAATCAGCATCTCCGCCAGGCTGGCGGCCAATTAGAATTTACCATAATAAGGAGGTGACAGCCGGCGTTGCTAAGCGACCGCTGTCTATAGAGCTGGGAGAGCCAGACACATTTAGATGTTACTGTGGATTTCGACAGCGGCATGTCAAAACAACACAAGCGTCTGCCCAGTGGAAAATTTTACAACCCAGGACTGGGCACTGGAGTGCGGCATGACTCCCTTTCAGAATAAAATACGTAAAGGAAGAGGTGTTTTTTTGTTATGGGTTTTTTTTTTGTTCCTTGAAAGAAGACTTTAACCAGTCAATCATTTATCTGCGCTTAATTAAGAGATATCGTGTCACTGGAATAGGACTTTGTTACTGGGTAATGGGTTCCCATGGCTAAGTAAATGCTGAGAAATTTATAGGAAATTAGCAGCAGGTCAGCATGGAGACATTTATTTTCAGTTGGAGGTATTTATCTGGAAATGACATTCTGTTCCAGTGACTTATTTTATTATATGAAAGGATTAAAGAATAAAAGGAGGAGGGTGGAAGGAGATGGAGGAATGAAAATAGACTGACGGCAGTTCCCGAGTTAACGTGAGAGCTGCTGACTCTGCAAATCACGAAAAGCTATGTTCCAACTGGGAGCAGTAACCCTTCCTGTACTTTAGCTTACTCCTAACAGGGGTGGGAGGGAAGGAAGGTGTAAGGGTCCTTTTTGAGTTTGCTATACTTTTATGGACAGACTAGCTTATATAGAGAAAGACAGAGGATCATATCCTCAGATAAGCTGTTCTGATTTTCACCTGTCTATAACCTGTACAACACTGTACAAACACTCTACTTCATGTGCTCTTCAGGTCTAAATAAGCTGGCACAAAGTAGCAGGGTTTACCCATCCTTAATATGGACCTATATAAAGTAGATGCCTGCACAAAAGAAAACGATTATGTATTCTAAATTATGAAAGCAGCACTGTCTACACCTTACCTCTTTTAGTTTGGTTTCACTGAAGACTGGGATTAGGAGGCTCCGGACATACTTCCATCTGTCATCACGAAGACAAAGGATGCTGTCAAGCATTGGCTTGGAAATCAAATTCGGCTTCTAAGTCAAAAGAAAACATGATTCAGTTTTAACACAAATGCAACTAGAGCTACTTGAGACTCTGGAACTTGGAAAGATTGGCCATGAATGGCATTGCACTGCTGTCCCACGATGAGAGAGGTTTGAATCAGTCCTAAACACCAAGTTAAACATGGATGAGGCTGGAGAAAATTTCTCATTTGCTGCACACGTTTTCTCTTGGGCTTGTAAAAGCCCCAGGCCAGGCCAGTAACTCCTTGCTCAGACTGTTTTGGTTCTGTCGTTCCTGGTGTTCTCCTGCAATTGCCAGTTCTCCTTTGCTGAACCCTGGCTTCTTTCTTCCCTTTCTAAGGTGGCTAGCAAGAGGACCTGTCAACACTCCCTCTCTGTGTGACATGAATGCCAACGCACTGCACGCGGGTGTCAGTGGGGGACAAAAATTCTGGTGACAGCTGGTATGTCAGACTGTTATATGCATTTTAAAAGTCTTCAGAAAATATGTTGATTAGAAAGCAAGTCCCAGTCCTTATTCTGTCTATAAGGAACACTCTCAGTAAGAAGTTGTTGCCTGGGACTCTTACAGCTTCAGCAGGTGGTCAAACATAGTAGTTTAAAGCACTGTCCCATGAAGTTCTTTACCAAAATTACTGCTACAGATTTTCTAAATTTTAATCCTCACCAACTTAGAAATCCCTATTCAAAGAATAGTGATACTCCCCAAGGAGTAAAAGGATAAAAAAAAGATGAAAGAGGAAGCATGTCAGGAAGCAACACAATTACCCCGGGAAGAGGCATCAGGAGATGCCCAGCCCCATAGCAGAATCTACTACAACTTACATTGTTGCCAGAGGATGTTTCCTAATTGTTCTTGAAGGCCTCCAACAATGGAGATTCAATTACCTCCACACACAAACTCTTCCAGTGCTGGACTATTCTTACCATGGTAGCAGCATCTCTCTTGCTGGAACTTATGGTCTTTAGTCTTAGTGCTATCACAGGCATAGGAAACAGGTTATTCTCCCTCTGCAGCAGCCCATACATCCAGAAGGCTATAATAACCACTGATCATATTGCTGCCATCTACCACAAATAACACCAATTCACTCAATACATACCAAACAGTTTTGTTATCTGGGACTGTTTCTTCAGTCTGATTGCAGTCCCTCTGCATAGTCTTGTTGATTTGCATCTTTCTCAAGGTATAGTCCCTGTGACTTGACATGGTACTCCATAAAGGAAGGGTTTTTGCCATATCTGCTGCAGACTATATTCCTCTCTGTTTATCCCAGAATACTACATAGCACAGCATGACGTCAACTCACATACTGGTTTGTGGCTCCCTGCAACTCTCAGACTTTTTTCTGAAAAATTACTCCCTAAGAAGTTATTCCCCAGCCTTTATCATTAAAGTTGGTTACTCCTATGAGTCATATATATAATATTTCCTTGGTTAACTGTGACCACACTTTCTATGATTACTTCTCCAACTGATCAAGACCACTTTCAATTGTAGCCCTTTCTTTCATAGCATCTTTTGTCCTTACCAGCTTATTGCCTTCTGTATAAATTGTCATCACACACAGTGCCATCATCTAATCCATTAACAAAAGTACAGAAGAGCACTTGCAAAGAAGCCACTTCTGGGATCCTCCCAGCTCATGCTTCCCTTATGTCAGTGGACTGCTCCCACCTTACAAGTCATCTTCAAGCAGTATTTCAAGTATTGTACCACAATGTCCTCCAGACAAACCGCCCTAAAATTGGTGGGTGGGGGTGGAAGGTGTAAACTTCTGTAGATATCAGGCTGTACAGAGACACTCATCTGCGCATGTGAGATCTTCGAGCACCCAGGCCCCTGCCACCCTGCCCCTTATTTTCTGCAGCAGCAGTATCTACTTTCCTGGGAAAGACCCAGACAAACCAAAGACACTTTGGCCTTCCCAATACCATCTGTCTTTTCCCTTTCACCCTCTAACATTTTCTTTCAGCCTTTCTTTCATTACTAATATACATGAAAAATGAGTTCTTACCACCTGTTACATACCTGGATAATTTAATCTTATTTTCTGCCTCAAGACTTCTGATTTTTTTGTCCCTACATGCTTTTTTTTAATCCTTGCTCTTGGAAATCTGACCTACTTCCCAATTTGTATAAAATCTTTTCTTCAGAGGCCATGAAGAGCTGACAACTTAGCTACACTGGTCTCCTACTGCACTTCCTTAACTTTCCTGCTTATTGGAAGAGTTTTCACTTAATATCTGCTCTTTAAGGAGCTGCCAGCTCTCCTTAACACCTTTTTCCTTTACACTTGCCAGAATCTTGCTACACTGCATAAGCTTGTAAAATGCATAAGCCTATTTTATATTGCAAACAGGCTAATGGAATAGTTTTACATTCTCAGCAACACCACCCAGTGTAGTAAACTAATGTCACCGAGCTGACACTACAGACCAGTTTTGAGCAAAGATGAGCTGTTTTCAAGTAGAAGAGTAAGCCGAAGGAAGAGACTGACTGAGGTACTCTCATCATATGACTACTGTAAAGATAAAATATGGGCACTTTTTTAATGTATATATAGACTATCCTATTTCGTGCAATAACAAGGAAAACTTGAGACAGGCTGTCAAAGCTGAAGTGGTTTGGACTGTTCTCTCTGAGTATCCTCTACGTAAATGATCTGTTTTCTAACTTGTCAGTAGGTATCTGCTCTGAGGATCAGAAGTGAAGCTAGAGAGTTCATCACTCACGGGAGCGCTGTCTCATTTCTTACAGATATTCAAAGAGGCAGGCTCTGGACAACTGGGAAGAAGCATTATCCTTGAAGAAAGTACTGTATGCTAGCCTCTGTTCCACAGTTCTTAGGTGCTGCTAGAGAAGCCCTAAACCTTGACTCAGCTGGCCACCAAATAAGTATTCCTTATATCTCTGGTCTTCAGTTTCATTCCCTGAAGCCCAGACTGCAGAGAATCGGTTTGGGTTGGAAGGGTCTTCAAAGATCATCTAGTTCCAACCCCCCAGTCATGGGCAGGGACACCTATCAGTAGATCAGGTTGCTCAAAGCCTCATCCAACCTGGCCTTGAACACTTTCAGGAACAAGGCTCCTGAGCACTCACTAATGCCACTGAAATCAACAACAGGGAATGCGCCTTGATCACACGAAATGCATTAGTCCAAGAAATCAGGTCATGGAACAGGGCCCCCAGATTAGCAAACACTCTCAGACCTGTGCTTCAACCACCAGCCTTCACTCCTGATTTATAAAGTGGAGATATCACATCACCTCCTCAGAACTGCAAATGATACATTAACATTTCTGAGGCACTCAGAAACTACAGTGAAAGAGCAGAATAACTATTTCCACAAGGAAATGACCAATTCTGTCTTCCAAGCAAGGTTTGAATAGTGTACAAAAAAAAAAAAAAAAAAAAAAAAAAAAAAAAAAAAAAAAAAAAAAAAAAAAAAAAAGGAAAAAAATTATAGGTCAACCCTTGGAAAAGTATTTTGCATCCTAAATTGAAGGCTGCCCAAGCTGTGCATTCTTGAAGACAAACTTCTGGAAGACAAGGCTCAACTCAGATAATAATAGATGTGACATAAATCTGACTGCATTTGCCTTGAAAGCAAAACACCTTCCTAAAACCAAACATTCACCCTAAAAATGCTCCTAATTGCATCAAGACTGCATATAGTGCATTCACAGAGAGAGGCCCAGTTACTGAACAAAAAGCCTGTTAATGATAATGTTGTAACTATGACACTAACCATAGCATTGCCTTCTTAGCCCTCTATGTGAGTGATGCTCCCTTAACATATTTTTGGTGTGTATAATATTATATACATATAAACGTTGCATGGAACAAAAGACAATTTTGGCCATAAATTATTTTACTCTGTCTCTTTAAACTGGGTACACAAAAACATGTTTATGTTTATTGGAATAGCGTCAGCACGACTGACAGTGTATAGTGGATTTCATTTATCAGGTTTTCTTACCGTTCCTCCAAACACTTTCCTCCTAATTGCATAACCTATGTTACAGGTTCATCTAGCAGGAATGAAAATGGATTTGGTATGAGAATAAGCCTGAAGTATCTTAGTGAAAGATGAAGTGTCACCTCTCTCTGATGGACGAAGTACTAGCTGTATCTCAAAATTCTTGAGTCTATAAAAAAAAAATCACTAAAAAAATTATCATTGGAGGCAGCAGTAATATTTTCAGGGATGGGATTTTGGTTTTTAGGCGGGGAAAGAGGTTGCTTTTAAGTCAAATGCAATCAGACTCATATTCCATCTAGCATTATCTAAATACTCAACAACTGCTCTGTGCTTCCTTCTCCTGTGCAATCAAACATTTCTGACCGCAGTACAGTAATGCTGCATGGAAGCTACTGGCAGTATGGTAATCTGCTGTGGCATACCTGCAAGTGCTACTGAGTTCCCACAATCACAAACGTGCTATCAGAAACAACAAAGAAAACCAGAGGGATTTGCTTCTAAACAAATCCTTTAAAACAGAAAACAAAATAATGTTTGAAGATGAGCAGCATCTTTGCAATTGATGCAAGAATTCCCTCCCCATTAAGCTGTTCCTTAGGCTGACCCTTCAGACCCAATTATTGGCTTGTTTGTCCCTGAGTCAATTTGGCTTGCTGTGTATTACTAAATAATTCAGGCAAGCGACTCTTCTCTGGGTCTGAGGCCAAGTGGTACAGAACACCTCCTGTCCCTGAGGTTAAGTCACTTTTCCAAAGAGAATGGCCACATCCAAACTGCTTATGATCATGGTGCATGTTCACCTCCTGAACTGTGCCCAAACCATGCCTGGGGGACAACTAATCGATACAGGACAAAACCATGCTAAGAAGCATGTCAATATGGACACCTGTAGGACCTACTCATGTACTAAAATCCTGTTCCTGTTTTATTCTGGAGTATAACTGTAGCCTTGTATCATTTCTAAATCATTTGCTCCTTTTTTGAGCTTGTCACTAACAGGCTAGACTGAACCTCTGGAAGCCA